CCGAGCTCGAGGCCTGGGCGTTCCGGACTTGGTGCTGTTGTGCGTCTCACCCGTTATCTGCCTGGTGATCCTGTGACAGCTACAGACCTCCTTTCTCAGAAAAAGACATTGTATTGGTTCCTGGGGCTGTTGGAAGGAATGACTCAAACTGGGCAGTTTAAACCAGCAGAAATTTACTCTCTCAAGAGTTCAGGAGACCGGAAGTGTGAAATCAAGGTGTGGGCAGGACTGTTTCATTCTGGAAGCCTTGAGAAAGAGACACTTGCAGGCCCTTCTCCAGCTTCTGTGGCCTCGGGCAACGCCTGCGTCCCTTGATTTGTAGATGCATCACTCAAGTGTCTGCTCTGTCATCACGGGATCCTCTCCCCTGCGTGTATGTCTCCTTTTCTCTCTCTCATAAGGCTCTCTCATTAGATCAGGGGCCCGCCCTTAATCTGGAATGAATTCATCTCAACCCTTGGCTTCATGACATCTGCAAAGACTTTTGTTCCCAAATAAGTTCACATTCAGAGTTTCTGGGTAGACATGAATTCTGGAGCCATTCAACCCACTACAGACCCCGAGGCCCCGAGGGGAAGTGACACACCCAGAACCATTGGACTCCAGCCTGAGGCAGGCACCAACTGGGCCCAGGCGCCTTGTCCAAAGCCTGGCCCAGCCCTTCCTTATGCCCTTTTCCTTCGTAGTGAATTCTGACTCCATTCCTGCAGCCCTTGCCCAGATGAGATCTTTCACTTCACAGATCTTTCCTGATGTCCTGTTCTGGTGTCTTGATCCCACTGTCCCTCCTTGTATCCTTGAAGTGTCCAAGGACCTGACACAGGGTTGGAGGCTTTGCCCAGCTGCAGCCCACAGTGGACATATGGAGTCCTGCCTCAGCTCCCCTTGCAAGGCCTGAGCCTGAAGAGAGGTTTTAAGGCCTCCCTTGTCGGTAGTGGAGAGCAGGAGGCTTCTGAGGTGGAAAACCCTTGTTGAAGGTAGGCTGTGGACAGAAGTAGGGATTTGGATGCTGGTGGTGGAGATGGGCTCAGCCCTGCTCCTGTTGTCCTTGGGGATGGGGTCCATGGCAAAGAAGCTCAGCAGCAGGTTTTGCTGGGGAGCCTGAGCACCAGGCAGAGGTCAGCCTCTGGCATAGTCCAGGGATCAAACATGATCCCTGCAGATTTGATGGTTAAAAGGGAGTCCACTGCTGCTGCTGCTGCTAAGTCACTTCAGTCGTGTCTGATTCTGTGCGACCCCATAGACGGCAGCCCACCAGGCTCCCCCATCCCTGGGATTCTCCAGGCAAGAACACTGGAGTGGGTTGCCATTTCCTTCTCCAATGCACGAAAGTGAAAAGTGAACGGGAAGTCTCTCAGTCGTGTTTGACTCTTAGCGACCCCATAGACGGCAGCCTACCAAGCTCCTCCATCCATGGGATCTTTCAGGCGAGAGTCCTGGAGTGGGGTTGCCATTGCCTTCTCCGAGGGATCCACTAGGGAGGCCTTAATGACCACCTGGAGAGGAGCTGCTCTGGTAGAAGACGGGCATCACAGAGCTTCCTGCCCTGACCCGACTTGGAGAGCCCACGTGGACAGTGAGTGCTAGGTGCAGCCTGGAGGTCAGGCAGGAAGCAAGGCCTGCCCTGAGCAAGTAGCCACCTCTCAGGCCCCTCGTCTATGAGATGGGAACTACCGCACCAGCCTCTCCAGAATCACAGGGGACGGGAGATGTGCCACCCACCAGACACCCCATGTGTGATAATGCTCTGAGAAAGTTAGGAACACCCCAGCAGTGTGAGGCCCATGCTCAGCTCTCTGCTGTTCCTGCAGCCCAGGTGGAGTCTGTGAACTCACAGTAACAGGCAAACAGCAGGCCTCACCAGCCGGGACTGACACAGAGCTTCAGCTATACTCAGTAATTCCTGGAAACTGACAGAGGTGGACTCGGGAGGTCCGATGGGGCTGGGGGGTGCTGGTGCGCCTGGCGGCTAATGTCGTGGGTATGCAATGCTCAGGCTTCTCCTGCTCTAACGGGAACCCTTGCCCCCTCTTCCTCTAAGCCCTTCCGTTTGTCCTCCTTTTCTGACACTTCTCCTGCTTTCCTGTTCTCACGCAACTGCCTTTCCCCACTCCTGGAACATTCAGCTTATTCATGTCAGACTCAAGGTCACCGGAGATTCAAAGAGCTGGGTCAGGAGGAGAGCTCAGGCTTTGTTTGTCCCTCCTCTCGGGCTAGTGGGGCACGTGTGTCCGTATATGTGTGTATGCCTGTGTGTTTATGTGTGCCTGTGAGTGCACGCATGGGTGTGTACATGTATGTTTGTGCACATGTGTGCATGTACTGTATGTGTATGGGCATGTATACTTACGTGCTTACTTGTGTTCGTGCACACGTGTGTGTGTGTGTACGTGCCCTGTGTGCTTGTGTGAAGAGGGAAGAGAGCCCAGACCGCCTGGAAATCTCTCGGGACCGCAGGCGTGCCTCCTACCAGGCACCGGTCACTGCCATTGCCCACGGAACAGAGCCCTTGGGGAAAGTTGCTGGACATCTTGGGCAAAGGAGAGAAGAAATGAAGTAACTGCCAGATTTGCAGCATGTTACCTGTTTTTATTAAAAATCAATGACACAATAGAGCGATTCCACTCTATCTTATTTAAACAATATCCACTGCAGGGGAGCCAGGAGGGGGGAGGGGCCCCGGGGCCAGAGGGTGGGGGGAGCCTCGGGGAGGCCCGCCGGCTCCGAGAGCCGCTGCTTCCAGCCGAGCTCCCTCCATAAAATAACCAGCTCATCTCCGGCCCCATCAGAGCAGGGATTTACGGCCGGGCCTGCGATTGCCTGCCTCACGCATCTCTCGGTTTTATTCCTGCTATTTATCACGCCAGGCCCTGCCTCAGCGCCAGAGGGACAGTTAATCAAGGCAGGCTTTCTACCTTGTCATCCCAGGATTCTGCTGGGAGAAAATGTGAGCCGTAAAATTAAAACCACCAGAACTTGGGAATTTGTAAAGAAGGCGGTCTGGGGAGGAGGGGAAGGACGCGATCCCCCCGCTCCCTGCCCCACGACCCACACCCCGAAATGCTGAGCAGCAGGGGCTCCACGCTCCGAATTCACTCCCTTACTGCTGTGGGTGCGTCTGAGGCAATGCCTTTCAAAGCCACCACCCCTCCGCCCCTTACCTTCCACCCCATCTCCACCCTTGTTCTCCCCCTACCCCAGCTCCCTTCATGAGAAAACACAGGTGATCGTTGCGGCAGAAAAGAAAAAGGAACAAGAGGTGAGCGCCTAGGGATCATTGACCATGTCTGACTTGGAATCTGATGGTGGGAAAAGGCGCAGGTCCCCCAGACGGGCAGCCCCTCTGGCACCTGGAGGACCTTCCTGCCAGCCTGTTCCCCGCCCCTGGTCCCGGCCAGGTTCAGGCAGGTGGAAGGCCCCCGAGAGCTGAGGAGCCCACATCCATGCAGCCTATGCTGATGTTCCTGTGGGACAATTTCCCAGCTGTTTCTGGAGATCCAAGAGAAGGGGATTAGCATTTAGTGCTGGGAAAGCCTCAGGCCTCGGCCACACACAGGGGCAGTAGCTCATCATTTGATCTTGGAGAGCAAGGGGGATGGATTACTTCCAGATACTTCTAGACCATTCTATGAAAAATGGTGGTAGGGATCTTATTTAATGTCTAGTTTTATTTTGTGGAGGAACCAGTGGGGCTGGAGAAAGGGGAAGAAGGAAATAGGACATAAAACTCAGTGCTTGCAGGCCTGCTGGGCCTTCAGGGTTTGGACCCACTCTGAGGGGGTGGCACAGCCAGAGCCCCACTGACAGACTCTTTCTGGCAGCAAAGAAGTTTTACTTTTAAACATGGAGTTCCTATGTGTGCATGCACATGTGTGTGCATGCGTGTGACACCCCAAGTCTGCTCAGTGCAGAAGGAGGGCTCTTCTGGGCGCTGGAACAAATGGTTTCCCAGATCCCCAAAGGACAAGCCAACCAGTCCAAATGCCTTCTGAAGACCCCTGTGCCTGGAGACGTGGGTTTCAGGGGATGTGGCTAGACACCTGCTGTGGGAGGGGGTGTGTGGGGGGCCTACGCTTTAGAGATGGGATCCCCTGACTCTGGACTGCCCTCCTCCTGTGACCCCAGAACCTCGTTTCAGGCCTTGTGACAGGGTGACAGCGATTGGCAGCTTCAGCTCAGAGTTGCTGTGGGCTTTCCCGCTCCAGAGCTGCCTCCCTGTGCTCATTATTTATTTAATCATCTCTTTATGATTCTGGAGAAAGAGGAACTGCAGGGTGGGGTGGGCAGAATGACCCTGTCCCCCAGAGCTTTGAACGAACAATATTCACACAGGCAGCTGTCAGTCAAGGCACCAGCCTCTAAGGCCTTCGTGACCAACTGAGGTCACCCGAGACCTTGTCCCAGACCAGGAATGGCCCCAGAGTTCAGGGAGGTCTGCAGGACTGGTGGGGGCAGCAAGGGCGAGAGGTAGGGGAGAATGCAAACTAGAGGGTAGGGGCAGTGGTGGGGGGCTCAAATGCCCTGAGCTTCCGACGGTCCCTATGAGGGAAGGGAGCCAGGGCAGCCTGGGGGTTGAAGTCACAGATAATATAGACACAAAAATGGGAACTCCATCTGAATTTAGTCTTCATGGGCTGGGGACCTCCATATCTAACAGAGTTGCTCCCTGGGGCAGAGGGGGGTGGCTCCAGCAAGGACCCTCCCTAATCCTGCTCACACCCTGCACCAAGGCAAAAGCATCCCCACGGGCCTGGGTGGGAGCGGCAGGCAGCAAAGGGAGGTAGTGGACCTCACAATTAGCCAGGGCTCCACAGTGGGACAGAGGCTAGACTTTGAGGGTGCCCTCTGCCAGCAGGTCTCTTCTTGGCCCCTCCCCAGGCCTACTCTTCATTTAAGCAGGCCCAAAGCCACTCTCCTGTGTGTGTACCTGCACACGCTTGTATGTGCGTGCACACAGGCACGTTTCAGAATCAGCTGTCCCTCCCACAGCTGCTGAGCACGCAGGATGCTGCTGCGTGACCTTAGGGCAGCTGCTGATGGCATCCGCCCGCCCCACCAGAGTTGGTGGTTCTCGGGCAGCGCTCAGCCCCATGCCTCTCTGCAGCGCTGACACATGGCGGATGGCCAGCAGCTGCCGGCTGAGTGAGTGGTCGCCGACATTTCCAGAAGAATCCATCTGCTGTGGGTATGCACGCGGCATGGAGAACTCTGTGTGGGCCTGGAGAAGCCAGGAGCCAGTTCTGTTCTTGTGCAGGCTGCCGGGGAGGTTGCGGGGGCGGGGAGGGGGACAGCCAGGGGAAAACGCAGCCATCACTTTCGTGATTTGGAGCATCCGAGACCCCAAGACGCCCCCCAGTGACGTTTCCTTGGATTTGGAATGCATTATGTGATTTAGCTGTTGTTATAGATTTACCTTCCTAATTATGTTTGGCTTAGAACAATGTTAAAATTGTTTTGCATTCCCTGAGTACACAGAGCCGGGGCGTGGGAGGAGGTGGCTGGGGATGTGAGAGGTGGCAGAGAAGACATTCGGGGTTTGAAGGCTGTCAGGGACAAACCACGTGCCAGTAGTAAAGAACTGCCTATGCGGAGAGGACCTTTCATAAGCAGTGGCCTGCTAACGCGGACGCTGACCCCAGAGGGGCAGAGCCGGGGGCACCTGGGAGCAGGTGTGGAGGGCCAGGGGCCAAGCCTAGTGGCTAACATTCCTTCATTCCTACTGTGTGCCTGGCTCTGCTCTGAGCCATTTGCTTGCATTGCCTCATGTAACCCCACAACTGCCCTGAGGAAGTGGATGATCTGTCCTTCTCCTTTTAGAGATAGGTAAAGTGAGGCACAGAGAAGGCAGGCCACTGACCTGAGGTCACACAGCTGATGTGTGGCTGTGCTGGGATCCTCACTCTAGAGCCCATTCTAGACCCATCCTCTATGATATACCATCTCCAGTGAGATGGCACTTCTAAACATCTTGCCAATAGGAGGCTCTCCTCCCCTGGCTCTGCCAGGCCGCAGGAAACACGGCATGTCCCCCTTGCATAACCAGTTATTTTTAAGAACACCTTGCCGAGTGGGAAACGCTGGTACCTGTGCTTCCCCAAGGGTTCCAGCCTGCTCGGCTGATACTGACCCCACAGCCCTCAAGCCCGTCTCTGAAGAAGCAGTTCTGTCTCCATCAGCATTCCTAAGCAAGATCCAGCTCTCCCTGAAGTTCAGACCAATATGGATTTGAAGCAACATTACTTTAATCCGCTCTCTCCTAAGTAAGATACAGAATGTATCTAGGTCCCCTTTGCCCTCTCGGCTAATCCCCTAAACAAAGTCAGACAGTCAGACCCATGCGTGCCCAACACAGCCGGGAGCATTCACGCTATTCCCGGTTTCAGGCAATCTGGGTATTCCGAGGGGCGTCAGACAAGAGCCGAGGTCATGAGATGAAGGTGGGCTGTTCATCTTGTGTGGGCTTGCCTTTCATCACCTGGCTCTGAACAAGCAGTTTATTTCTGAATGAATGGGGCTGCATATTGCCCTTCTGACTCCATATTGTCCAGAAAATGAACATGGCTTTCACGGTCAGCCTGTTTCCCGTGGCATGAAGCCTTTCTCAGTGTCTCTCAGCATGGAAGTGTCTGTATTTTGCAGGCAGAGCTGGTCCTGCAGTAACGAGCAGCTTGGTCCAGCTCCTTTTAAGAGGAGCTGGCTGGCATGCTGGTGTTCCCCCTGCACCACTCCTGACCCTTCAAATCCTAAAACCCACACACAGTGCCCCAGCTGATGGCCAGGAGAGCGACTGCCAAGATGCTCTTTAGTTGTTGTCAAGGCAACACCAGGGATGCTGAAACCCCTTGAGGACAGGAGAATACTCTCTACATTCTCCGCCTGTGCTCACATCTGCTCGGGGCCATGGACAGAGGTAAGGCAGCTGTGACTTACCTCTGGGGTGAGGGTGAGGCACATTGCCTGGAAGAGGGCAGCCAGGCTTTTATTTCCTACTGTGATGTTCCCGCTGGGATTTTTACCCTGTTGTAGAATCAGGATATGTGTGTTAGTCACTCAGTCATGTCTGACTCTTTGCAACCCCACAGACTGTAGCCCGTCAGGCTCCTCTGTCCATGGGATTCTCCATGCAAGAATACTGGAGTGGTTTGCCATTCCCTTCTCCAGAGGATCTTCCCGACCCAGGGATCAAACCCTGGTCTCCTGCATCGCAGGCAGATTCTTTACCGTTTGAGCTACAGGGAAGTCCTTTTAGGTAGAATCAGGAGAACTATGATTTATTTCATGGACTTCAGCCTGTCCTACTGCCTTCAACAATTCCAGATATTCCCCTCTGGGAAGCCAAGGGCATGAGTCCGCTGGATCTTCGTCACATGTAGCAGCCAATTCTTGGTGCCTAACCAACTGCCCTGAAAGTCAGCGGCTGAAAAAGATAATAATTTACAGTTGAGGCTCATTATTTGTGGATTCCATATTTGCAAGTTTGCCTCCTTGCTGACGGTTCTTTGTAACCCCTCAATCAACATGAAGGATACTTCCTTGGTTATTTGTGGATGTGTGCAGAACATTGAAACATTTTGAGTCGTCTGCACAGGTGTTCTCGGTTGAGGCTGGACAGGTGATGCTCTGCCTTCTAGTTTTAGCTCTCATGCTGAGATATTTTAGTGCCACATTTTCTGTTTCTTTGTGCTTTTTGTTGGTGACTTCACTGTTAGAATGGTTCGAGCATCGTGCTAGAGTGCTGTCCACTGTTCCTAAGCCCCAGGCGGCTGAGATGTGCCCTATGGAGAAAATGCGGGCATTAGATGAACTTCATTCAAGCCTGTGTTATGGTGCTGTTGGCCCTGAACTCGATGTAATGAGCCAACCTAATACAACCTGTATTAGATAAGGCATCTTTACACAGAAACATACATAAAATAGGCATATATATTGATGTGCTCAGTTGCTCGTGTCTGACTCTTTGCGACTCCATGGACTGTAGCCTATCAGGTTCCTCAGTCTATGGAATTCTCCAGGCAAGAATACTGGAGTAGGTGGCCATTTCCTACTCCAGGGGATCTTCCCAACCCACGGATCAAACCCATGTCTCTTGTGTTTCCTGCACTGGCAGGCAGATTCTTTACCACTGTGTATAGGTTGATGAAAACGTTGTGAACAGAGTTCTGTGTTTCCCCTAGGATCAAGTGTTAGCCATGACTTTCTAGTATTGAACTCCATGAATAGCAAGAACTATCTGTTTTCTTGTCACGTGCCTGCAAGTCATCCAGGTGCAGGCTGATCTGGGCTGGGCTGGACTGGGCTTGGTGGGATGCTTCTGCTCAAACTGTGAGCTCTTGGTTCTAAGGCAGGCTCAGGCCTGCTCGTGCGGGTTTATCCTGGGTCCTGGCCAAAGGGTAGCAGCTCCCAGGGGAGTTCTGCTGGCCATGGCAGTGGCATGAACCCAACCTGCAAACAGCCGTATAGCCTCTGCTTGCATCATATCAACTCACTTCCCACTGGTCAAAGCAAGTCAGCGGCCAAACCCGAGGTCCAGGGGTGGGAAGTACACTCCACTTCTATGGAAGGCACTGCAGAGTCTCATGATGGGGGTGTGAACAATTGGGTCCCCCCTGGACACTGCCCAGGGAGGATGTCCAGGTCGATTGAGACCTGGGTCACTGTGGTGAAGGTGAGGATGCAGCAGAGGGTCCTGGCCCAGAGGCAGGGGATGGAAGGGCCATTGCTCACCGTTTCCTTGCTCACACCTGAGTGTCCTGCTGTCTCTGTGCAAATACTGCTCCAATAGGCAAGTTTGCTGCCTTCACCAATACCGAACAGTGGAAGGTGTCTGTCTCCTGTAGGGTGACCTGGAGAGCAGGCTAGGAGGGGAGCAGGGACAAGGCTGGTTAATTAATTCAAGGGTAAGGGAACAGGAGTCTGCTTGCATGCGTGCTCAGTTGCTTCAGTCATGTCCAGCTCTTTGCAACCCTATGGACCATAGCCCGCCAGGCTACTCTGTCCATGGGATTCTCCAGGCAAGGATACTGGAGTGGGTTGCCATGCCCTTCTCCAGGGGATCTTCCTGACCCAGGGATCGAACCTGTGTCTCCTGTGTCTCCTGCATTGCAGGTGGATTCTTTACCCACCGAGCCACTGGGAAACAAGAGAGGAAACCCCAGAAACTATGTGTTCTGGATGTTTTACTTATGGACATCTTATATGCATTTACCAAGCTAAGCGCAAAGTACGGATTTGTAGCGAGGCAGCCTCACAAATTGTGGGACTTGTCTTACAGATCCACTCATCTCACTGAGAAGAGGAGCTGGTGGAACTGCTAGGATCATCATAATTAGGTCTCCTTTTGAAACCACGTACCACGTTTTCTTTTTTATTTTTTTCCTTCCTCTGCCTCAGGGCATCTCCCTGGTTCCTCATCAGTAAATGAATCCGTTCCCTTCACATCTGGGACGCAGGGCCTTTGATACTGGCATGCGTGGAAAGGAGGGAAGAATAATTAACAAATTAATTAATTGTTCTTTGTTTCCACTTCAAACAAATAAGGTAGTATTTTGAGCTGAACAGTTTGTGTGCCAATAAAGGGCCGTTAGTGACCATTTAAAAATGAATATGCACCTCCAGCAAATAAACACAGACTCCCTGCCATTCTGGAAGTTTGACTTGTGACAGGCTCCCCTCTGAGCCGAGCCAGCTTCTGTAGCCTGGTCCATGAAGTGAAGCTCCACGGAGATGCTTATTTTTGTGAAAAACAAACAAAAAGTACTCCACCAGCAGCCCCACTTCTGCAAAAGAATTGAAAGCAGGGTCTTGAAGAGATATTTGCACACCTGTGTTCACAGCAGCATTACTCACAATCGTCCAAAGGTATAAGCAACCCAAGTGTCCATTGATGGATGAATGGTAAACCAACTGTGGTCCATCCACCCAGTGGAATATTATTCAGCCTTAAAAAGGGAAGGAAGTTCTGACACATGCCGAGTGAAATCAGCCAGTCACAAAAGGACAAATACTCTGATTCTACTCTTGTGAGGGACCTGGAGCCATCAGATCACAGAGACAGACCGTAGATGGTGGTTGCCAGGGGCTGGGGAAGGGGGAAGGGGGGCTAGTGATTAATGGGCACACAGTTTCAGTTTTACAAGATAAAAGTAGGTCTGGAGTTGGATGGTGGTGATGGCTGCACAAGGAGATGACTGTACTTAACACCACTGAACTGTCCCCTTAAGATGGTCAGATGGTCATGTATTAACAAAGGGCTGACAGAGACGTCATGGCTGGAGGCTCACAGGAACCCAACCACCCTCAGGTGCAACTGTTCCATGTTCACTAATTAAGAGTTGGCAGCAACTTTATACAGCATTAATCCTGGAGTAATGAGAATCGCCTGTATGTTTATATGTGTTCTATTTCACACTCAATATTTGTTACCTGGTCCCTGGATTCCTCCACTATTTTCATGAGCTAACACTTATGAGTCTGGTCTCAAGCCTGACTTTAAGTTTTTATACTTCACCATAAAGAGCAATTCTCTGATATGATCTGGGAGATTCCAGGCGGTACTTCTGGCTGCAGATACCAACTAATTTCCAGTCTTTGACCCCTTCCCGCCATGCTTCCGGCAAACATGAGTTGATACGCTGATTTCCACAAGTAGCATTGGAATCCAGGGCTTTCTGTGTGTGTGTGGAGGGGGAGGGGACACATAGGCCCTGACCCCATGCCCTGTGTTCTTACAAAGCAGTCTGTTGGCAGATGAGAAATAATATTTGTTGAGCATAGTGTAGGATAAATCATATTTGTACTTTACTTTAGGAACAAAAGTACTTTCAAAAGTATATTTGATTTTGAAATCACTTTTTGATTAAGAGTCCCTTAAAAAGGACAGTTAAATAAACTGCGGGTTGGAGAGACTCCTTAAGCGTGGGCAGGGTTTTCCATTTATTGGTGTGCTAGGAGGTCTTAGGTATAGGTTTGAATCTTTGTTTTCCATGTTCTTTCTGATGTGGTTTTTTCTCTTGAAGATGTTGTAGACAGACTCAGTCCCCTAAGACTCTTTCCTGGAGTCGAAGAACAGTAAATCTCCAGAGACTGGGCTACTGTTGCAATCAAGCACCTCCAAAGCCGAAGGCTGCCCGCTGCCCCGGAACAGCTCTGAGGAAGCCCGTCACTGGTGTCCCTGCAGGAGCCTTCTCCCGAGAGCCATGCTGGGGCTTCGGCCTCACACACTGATTTGGGGGTGATGCCATCATGGCAGAGGGTGATGGAGCAAGAGGAGCCGGGGAGAACCCCAGGTTCTCAGCCTCACCCAGACAGGTGGGGGCCAGCAGGGGGGACCACAAGCAGGTCTGAAACAGGCCAAGACCCCAGTGTTGGCCCCACCTGACCTGGCCCAGCCCTGACTTTGGTGGGCTCTGGGGACCCTTCCCAGGGTTGCATTTCTACCCAAAGACTACACGGGAACAAGAAGTATGTTGAGAGGGGGCAGAGGGGAGACAGCCCGGGCAGGAAACCCTGGGGAGGCGGGGATGGGGGTGTGAACCCTGCTTTGCTGGAGGCCCCCCCCATGTGAGGTCCGCTCCCCTACACCCTTGGCAGGGGGGAACCATGCACGTGGATACAAGGAGAGGTGGTGTGATGGAGGGTCAGGCGTGTTCCAGTTGGGAGGTGCTGTGAGGAAGACCAGGTGATTTTTAAGGAGAGCTTGTGTCATGCTGCTGGGCAAGCCCTGAGTCTGCGTGCCCCCTAACTGGCCCCAGACGCTCCACACACAGCGTCCTTCTGTTTCGCCACCCCGACTGCCTCTCCAGAATGGCTGTCTCTAGAGGGCCCCTCCTGACCTCTCCTCTCCCTCCCGGCCCATCCCCTCCTCCCCGGGACTTCCCCAGGCTCCAAGTCCTGCCTCCACCATCACAGAGCATGTGCTAAAGTGTGAACAAGGCCCTTTGCACCTCTCCCTCCCCGACTCCTCTCCCACCCTGGGCACCCCATCCTGTCCCCCCCTTCTCCCATCCTGGCCCAGCCCCCGCAGGGCTGGCGGTTGTTTACCACAGCAGCCAGTGTGCTCCCCGCCCCACCTCCTAATCTCATCTGGGCGGGATTTTAACAAAGCCCTCTGCACAGCTGGCTCCATACATCACTCAGCCCCTGGAGGTGGCTGGGCCTTGATGGATGCATGACAACCCTCGGCAGAAATGGCATCTGGACAGCAGCCCCTCCCAAAGCCGCTGGGAGATGGGGAGCCTCAGGGGGAGGGGGGAGATCGCAGGAGAGCCCTCTGCTTGGGGCCCTGGGCAACAAACCCTAATGAACTGAGATTACATGGTTTCGACTTTGACACGCTAGTTTGAAAAATGGGGCATTTTCCCTCTGCTTCCTTTTTTTTTCCCCATTATTCCAGCTCTGCCTGAGGGATGAGAAAGAGACTCCTGTGATTCTGAGAGAGGATCCAAAATTGTGTAAGGGGACCCTGTGCGGAGGAGGGTGGCTGCTGGGGGTGGGTAAGCTGTGGATTGATGGAGAAACTTGGAAAACCGGGCATCCTTCCTCTCAACCTGCTGGTTTCCAGGGGCCATCTTCATGGGGGTCTTCCATGGCTTTATCTCCCTAGTCTAACTTCCCTCTCTGTCCACCTTCCTCCTCCTCCTCTGGCCTCAAAGGAGACCTCCCTTCCCAGGAGGAGGAGAAAGTGTTGCTGGTTGTTGCCTGGGGCCCCATTGACTCACTTGGTCATTTGGGGTCTGTTTCTATGCACAGGGTTTAGGAGTCCTTGGGGGTCCCCGTGCTGGGGCGATGAGCCCATATTCCTTGAGTCCTTGGCCTCTGTGGTCTCCCTGCCTGGTACCCAGTGCCAGCCTCTCTCAGTCCCACCTATGGCTTCATGTCCAAGGGATGTACATGCACGCCTCCCATTTTGGACCGTTTCCATTGTGCTTCTTCAGAGCCAGGGGGCCAGGAGGCAATGTCATGTGGTGGGTATGGCCCAGGGACCTGAAGGGGTCCCCATGGCTCAGCCGGTGGTGTGGTGCCTTGCTGGCGAGCCCCCCGTTCCTGTTTGCAGGAGCTGAGGGCCCCATCCCATTAGATCCCACAGCCACTTTAGACCACTGACACTTGTGACACCAACTTCAGCTTCAGGGCTTCCAAAACCACGCTTAGCTTCAGTAGTTCACTGGAAGGACTCACAGAACTTAGAAAAGCAGTTATACTCACAGGGATGGCTTATTACAGCCAAAACACACCAATGAAAGTCAACCAATAGCAGAGACACAGGGGCCGAGTCCAGGAAAGCAGGAAATGAGGGGGTGTCAGCTTTGTGTTCCCGGCTAATTGCTGTGCCTGTGGAAAACCCCAAAACCCTTCTCCTGGAGTGTGGGCAGGCCCACATCACCCTTCCCAGAGAGGCAGGAGAGGACCTGAACAGGGCACAGGATCGAGAAGTTCAAGGCGGCTGCCACAACTGCCAGGGGACTTTGCCGTGTTTGTCCGGGGGCAGCTGACTCCCACTTTCCTTCCCATGGCTGCGAGCTGGGTGGGAGGCATCCTGATAGGAGTTCCTGACTCTGTGCTGTACATATGTTCTGAAAAACTTGTAGATAAAAAATGGCAGTGTTTTTAAAATGTGCTCAGGACTGCTCCATTTCCACATGAAGGAACCTTTTGTGAAGTGAATCATCAGCCAATTTGTGTTTTTAAAACATCAGATTTGCCTAAAAGCAACACACCTGTTAATCTTACATCTCTAATGATTCCACTAGAAGGAAGCAAGGGGGATGCCAGGGGTATCCACAACTCGCATGAAAATCCCCACACCTTCGGATTCCTGGGCGCTTTCCAAAGGGCTTTTCAGGTGACACCTGAACCCTGACAGTCACTCTTCTGGGGGGATTGCAGGTGGGAGGAAGATGAGTCGCTTCCCTGTGCCCACTCCGTGGGGATGAAGATGCCAAGGGTAAGAGATTCAGGGCCTTCTCCACGATTGTGTTGTTTAAAAGAGGCAACGAAGCATTGTGTGCTGACAGGCCCCGAGTGCCTCTGAATTTCATAGACACACACATACACACATACCCACAGGCGTGTGCACACGCACAGCGGTGTCCACTGTGAGTAGCTGGCGAACACCTGTTGCTTGCCGTGCATTTTCTGAAGTTCTGGTCTGAGCGCCGACATCTGCGTGAAACCTGCAAATACACAGGTCTCGGCCATGGTGCAGCACCGTGTGTCCCCAGCTTTCCAGACCTCCCCCTGATGGCCACTGCAGGCAGATGACGGGCGCAGGGCGGAGGGGGAGGTTGGTGGCTGTAACTCTGTGCTCCCGGGGGAGCACCCGGCATCTGCTGTCACGGGGGGCTGTTCAAGTGCAGACAGAGCTGCATCCGGGCACAGGGAGAAGCTGCCCAAGGGGAGAAAATAAATCTTAGGGAGCTGCTGAGGCGACAGAGAAACCATTCACAGAAGCATGTGCCTCCAACACAGGATTGCATGTACATGCACGCGTGTGTGTGTGCAGCAGAGCAGCCCGCAGACGCAGGGAGGTGGTATGAGGGCAGATTAAACCTCGGGTGATAACTCGGCTGCTGTGGGACGCTCCTGTGAGCTCGAGGTGTGCAGCGCACTTGGAATCCTGCTCTTCCCCTGGAGCTTGGGCGGCTCAGCCCCCCAACACCGGCCACCGTGTCACCCACACTGACCCGAGGGCTCGTGAAATCTAGTTGCCTAGCAGAATGTGAGTAGGATTGCTAAGTTAAAGAAGGATGCATTCATCGCTGGGCTGTAACTCGATCTGAGTTGGTTCAGAGAAGGTTCCATGGCCTTGGAACCTGCCTCCCCGGCCCAGCTAAAGGCCGACTTGTGTCTGAAAGAGCTGGATCTTTCAGGTCAGTCTGTGCAGTCTCCTTGCTCACTCCGTGGGCAGGAACCCCTCTCCCAAGGGTTTCTCAAGTGGTCTGAGTGGAGGGGACTGCCACCCAGACTTTGGGACACTGAAATTTGGCAGAGCCCCTCCCATCTCTCATCTCGATCCTGGCCTGTCCCTCTGTCCCTCTGTCCTTCTCTGTCCCCCTCCAAGGTTCTCGCCTGGTCTTTCTTGCTAAGAAGCAGCTCAGAGCTGGGATGCTGGTGGGGACTGAGCCACACCTCTGGCCACCCTCGGTGTGCGTGGAGGCCTGTGGGCGTGTCCTTCTTGCTTTCAATCACAAAAAGCAGGCACTGGGCTGACACACAGTAGGTCACTGGATCAGACCAGGGCAGCAGCAAGGAGCAGCTTTCCTACCAGAGCGCCTGTTATGGTGAGATCAGCCGTGCACAGTTCGGATCGTTCTTTGCAGGGTTGCTTTAGGGTAGGACTATCTGATGGAGAAAGACCTTTGCTGACTTTTAGCTTGGGAAGCATGCGTGTGGGTGGGTATGAGTAAGGAGGAGAGTCAGCAGCTGCAGGAAGTGTGGGGCATCCCAGCGACTTCTTTTTAACTTCAGAAAATTGTGATAAAAACAGAAGTTCTCCATGTTAACTATTTTTAGAGGTACAGGTCAGGGCGTGAAGTTGCATTGTTGTGCAACCGTTACCACCATCCATCTCCAGAACAGTTTTCATCACCCCAGACTGAACCTCTGTCCCCATTACACACTCACCCCATCCTACTTTCTGTCCCTGTGAATTTGACTATCCCAGGTACCTCATATGAGTGGAATCATACAGGATTCGTCCTTTCGTGATGAGCTTATTTCAGGTGGCATGATGTCCTCACGCTCCATCTATGCTGTAGCAGGTGTCAGAATGTCCTTCCTTTTTAAGACTGAATAATACTCCATTGTATGGATGTTCTTATCCATTCACCTGTCAGTGGACACTTGGGTTTCTTCCACCGTTTGACTTTTGTGAATAATGCTGCTATAAATATGAGTCTATACATATCTATTCAAATTTCTACTTTCACTTTTTTGGTTTATGTACTCAGAAGGAGAATCCAGAGTTGTATGGTAATTCGATGTTTTAATTTTTTAAAGAACTGCCTACTATTTTCCATAGTGGCTGCACCCTTTTATGTGCCCATCAGCAGTGCACAAGAGTTCCAGCTTCTCTACATCCGCTCCATTACTTATTCTTTTCTGTATTTTTTAAAAACAAAGTCTGTTTTAATATATATATGTTTTGTTTTATTTATTTATTTATTTTTGGTCACACTGTGTGGCTCGTGGGATCTTAGTTCCCCAACCAGGGATTGAACCAGGGTAGTAAGAACTCAGAGTCTTAACCACTGGACCGCCAGGGAAGTCCCTCCCTTTGGTGTTTTGATGACAGCCACCCTAATGGTGTGAGGTGGCTCACTGGCTTTGAGTCTAGACTGTCCTGGCTGAGTACGATTCTCTGAGAAAGGCTGTGGGGACACCTACTCTTCAACACCCAGGGACAGGCCACCCTACTGCTAGTCTTTCTGGAGGGGATTGTCTCAGGGCCGGGGTGTCCTCTCTGAAGTCTCCAGGAAGGGCTGCAGAGCCTGCCTCTGACCAGGGACGCTGGCCAAGGAGGCAGTGGGAGGACACAGAAACCTTGCAGGTGGTGGTGGTTTAATCAGACCCTCCCTCTGAGCTGTGTGGGTGACCCCCACAGGTGAGCTCACAGCGCTTCCTCTCCTCTCCCGACACCTTAGCTTTGCACCTTGTGGCTCTCTCACCAGGAGACAGATGCCCACTTTTGGCAGAGGTGAGGGGAGTGAGCGAGGTGGGGCCACCCTCTCCCCTCCCTGACCTGGGAACCATGCTAGGGGGCCCGGGAAGAAGGTGAGTTCTGAGTTCTTCCCAGCCTGCCGGCCAGGTGGGGGTACCGAGCCGGCCAGCCGCAGTCAGCACAAGTGGAGCCACGTCCCCGATGTAGGAGGTCCTCTGGTCCACAGGTGGCCTCTCCAGCCTTTCTCCTCCAGGGATGTTTCCACTTGTGTTGCTTGAGATTCTAAAGGTCACAAAACAGCCAGTTCTGCTGTCAGATGAAGGAGTCAGCATCCAGGCAGAAAGGACCCAAGGCTTCTGAAATGTGAGCAGTGGCCCCCTTCCCAGCCCCGGGTGGGTGCAGGGAGGACAGTCCTCCACTTCCCTGCTTCTCTTCTCCTTGGATCAACCTCACGGCCCAGCCCCGCTCAGGTGATAGGCTGGACCACCTGTCAGTACCAGCAGTTACTCCTGCAGACCCACACCCGAAGCCCTGTGGCCATCTTAGGTTCTGAAACCAGTGGGCGTCCTTCCTGGCTGGAATGGCAGTGGAAACAGGGGCCCTTTGACTCTGTCTCTGCAGGTGAAATTGCAGACTGGCAGCTCTGATTGTGGGGGGTGCTAAGTCACTTCAGTCATGTCTGACTCTTTGCAACCCTGTGAACCATAGCCCGCCAGGCTCCTCTGTCCATGGGATTCTCCAGGCAAGAATACCAGAATGGGTCGCTATTTCCTTCTCTAGGGGGTCTTCCCGACCCAGGGATCGAACCCGCGTCTCTTGTGTCTCCTGCGTTGTCAGGCAGGGTCTATGCCACTAGCTGTGGTTGCGGTGTGACTTTTATTCACTTGGCTCGATGGCGGTGGCTGCTGGGGCTTCTTGTGTGCTGCAGTGGCTTGGGGGCACTCTGACGACAGAGGACAGGACTGTGTCGGTCTCTCCTGCTGCCCTGGCTCCATGCAAGCCTCACTGCCAGGCCTTGCCCCGTAGCTTGTCCTAGTTGTGGGGATTTAGGAGCTGCCTGGGCAAGATGGACAGCTAGCATGTCTCATCATTGCATCCGTGAGCTGGGACCAGAGGCTGCTGTTTGCCAGCAGAAGGGAACTCATGATGTGTGTTCCTTCCCCCAGGATATACCTCATTTGTTGTGTCTGCTTTCTCCAGGTATCTTCTTCCCCCCACAGCAGCCCCTAAGCCCGGCCAGGCTTCTCCTGGACCTGCCTTTGCATTCTTGGAATCCATGTCATGATTCTAGAGCAGACAGGTGGGACAGAAAGGGTTAACTGTGACATAAACTCATTTGTGTATTGAGATACATCCTAAAAGGGGGGCTTCGTTTGGAAAGTTCTGTGCATTAATCCATCTTCTTATGGAAGGGAGGAAATTATTCATAATTAAAAAGTAATAATAATGTGGTGTGAAGGAACTCAGCTGTATGTTACCCGGAAAGAAGGAGGGGAGGGTGGGCAGGCTATTTTTAATGGTCTCCATAGCAACAGAGATTTTGTTTACAGTGATTTTTTTTTCCCTCTTGTACTTCAGCAAGGCAATTGCTGATTTGCATTTTATTAGAAAGTGCTGCTGGCAAGTCCCTGATGTGGACAGAACTGGGGCCCTGAGAGGGCTTGGGAGGGGGCTGAGCCTTTGCGGGGTTGGCTGGCCCCGGGTTGGAACTGCATGGCTGAGGCATCAGGGCCTGCGGGATGCTCGCTTCCAGCTGCTCAAACAGCCCGCGTTCCCCTCTGTGCCCCCGTCCTGTGTTCCCTGCTGAGGGGGTACCACCTCGCCCACCCCACCCCAGTTACACAGCTTCACAGCACCCCTCTGTGTCCAGCACACCGGCTCCCCAGAGCCCCCAGCCACCTGCTCAGGGCAGCTGGGCGGGTCCCAGCGACTCCAGCTCCAGCCCGTGAGAGGCTGGCAAGGGCTACTCGCGGAGGGCACCGGGCCCAGGGCTGCCGGCTGTGCTGCAGATGGCGTGGCAGCTGTGTGCCCCGTGGAAGCCAATGTGAGTGGCCGCTGGCCAGGCCCCCAGAAGGCGGGTACAGGCAGGGGGTGCAGGTGCCAGTGCTTCCTGGGCTGGGGGCCCAAGTGGGCTCGCTGCCGGCTTCCTAGCATCCTCCTGCTTCCCACCCACCACCAGGTGTGGACCCCAGAAAGGGGAAGAAGCCAGTCTTCTCTCTCTGTGGTCATGGCTCTGCCAGCACCAAGAGCCTTCTGCCTTTATTCCAGGTGGAAACCTGCTTCCCACGTGTGGTCCAGCCAGGCAGAGAGGCTAGAGCTTGCTGTCCTTACCCTTGGGCGGGAGACGGGGCATGTGGTAGCTTCCTACATGTTCGTGTCCATGGACCCCCATGATGGGGCATCACTTTGTGTGTGGTCCCTCCCCACACCCCACCAAGACTTTTGAGTGACATGGGGACTCACAGTGCCTTTTGGGTTCTGAAGGGATAGTCAGATCACAGCTGGTCTTCCACGTGGAGACTCAGCACTCTTCCTTTTGGGGAATTTGGATTTAGGTTGAGGGAACTGAGAGAGTGCAGCCCTCAGTCCTCAGCTTGGGTAAGAAGGCATCTTGCAGGAAATCCGTCCTGCTCAGGACCACACAGGCAGCCTTCCCTTACTAGGAGAGTCTGGTGGTCTGGGTTGGTTTTGGTTTTGGTCTCTTTCTTTTTGTATTGCATCTGCAG